GAACACACCCTTTCAGGGGCGTGGCGACCATATAAGAAAAAAAGGGGCGGGGTTTTCATTATGCCCACCCTGGAAATATTGTTCCCACATTCATAGAGAAATGGAATTTTCCACAAACATTGACATTCGTGAGAAAAAAAAATTCCAGATGTGGAGCCATCTCGAACACACCCTTTTAGGGGCGTGGCAGCCATATTGAAAAAAGGGGCGGGGTTCTCATTATGCCCAACATGGGAAAAATGTGCCCACATCTCATAAAACGAATGAAGCTAATTCCCACAGACACTAATACTCACGAGAAAAAGATCACACGTGGAGCCATCGTAAACACACCCTTTTAGGGGCGTGACAGCCATAATAAAATCGGGGGGGGTAGTCACGATGCCCCTATAAAAGAAAGTTGTGCCAACCTTTCATAAATGGATTGGATTCCACTCGGACAATATATTCATAAAAATCTTCTTTTTTTATGTGAAGCCATCACCAACCTACCTTTTTAGAGGCGCGGCATCCATTTTAAAAATGGGGAGGGGGGTACTCAATATGCACAACATGGAAAATTTTGACCGCGTTTTATATAATAAACTCCACCTCAGATAGCTGTTCAATGTGTTGGAGTAGGGCCGCCTTTATAGTTGGAAGTTACTGTAGGCAAACCCTTTGTTTTCTTACTCTATGCATTATTGCCTCATCTATATTAACCCAGTTACTGGTTCCGTCGTCTGTAGAATTATTTTTAACCTTTCAACTGCAGCAATATCTGAATTGGGGTATAAACTGGGGTACCTTAGTTAGTCCTGGAAAGACTAGTGTTACTTCTACAAATATACATTGTTTCCTCTGCCATTTTTTTCTGACAGACCAAAAGGCATATGCAGTGTCGCACCTGTATAAAGTATAAACAATTTTAATGGATTTGGTCGGGGTAAAAAAAAACCACTCATCAGAGCTTTTTTTCAACATGGCTGCCTCGCCCCTAAAAGGGTGTGTTCACGATGGCTCCACATCTGGAATTGTTTTTCTCATGAATGACAATGTCTGTGGAAAGTTCCATTTCTCTATCAATGTGGGAACAATATTTCCAGGGTGAGGATAATGAAAACCCCGCCCCCCCCCCCTTTTTCTGATATGGTTTCCACGCCCCTAAAAGGGTGTATTCGAGATGGCTCCACATCTGGATTTTTTTTTCTCATGAATGTCAATGTTTGTAGAAAGTTCAATTTCTCTATGAGAGTGGGAACAATATTTCCAGGGTGGGCATAATGAAAATCCCGCCCCCTTTTTTCTTATGTGGTTGTCACGCCTCTAAAAGGGTGTGTTCGAGATGGCTCCACATCTGGTATTTTTTTTCTCGTCTGTGGGACGTTTTATTCGTTCATGAAATATTGACACAATGTTTTCCAAAGTGGGCATAATAATTACCCCCCCTTTTCTTTTAATTGCTGCCGCGCCCCCCAAAAAGGTACTTTTGTGGTGGCTCCGAATCTGGAAAACACTAATAATCTATATAGTTATGTTTTGTGAAGTTTCCTGCTTTTGTAATAAGTGGGAAAAATCATTTTCACTGCGGGCACAACAAGTCCCGCCCCTTTTTTTTTAATGGATGCCACTCCCCTAAAAGTGTAAATTTGCGATGGCTCCACATTTAAAACATTTTCTCGCATGACTATAAACATCTGTGCCAAGTTTCACGCTATTATGCAAAAGTGCACAATTCATCGATATTTTGTCACATATCCGCTGGACTAACACAGCATAATTCACGCATTCGGTTGCGAAGGGCGATTTCTAAAGGTTACGTAACTCATTTTGAATGAAACTACATGTGCACGTACATGTTCACGTTGGCGGGCGAAATCTTTGAAAATTAATTCCTCCCGTTTGGAAGACCGTATCTTCATGCAATTTTCAGGGTTTACTTTCCTCATAATGATCCAAGTATGCGCTGAAAATCGTTGTGATGTGTTCATTATACTTTCGTTGAAATTGGACAAATAGGCCTGGCTACGTGCATCATTGAAAGTTGTAACACTGACGTTTGCAATAGCTGTCAATCTTTTCAAGCCTCACGAATATTAATAAGGTTCATATCCATTAAGGTGTGCAGTAAACATTTTGAGAAAAGCCTCCTTCACGAGTTATTAATTGATAAATATCAACCTTTTCGCCGGCTTCCATTGGTCGATACCGAGACCCACGCCAAAACACGCCGAGGGACGCTAATGAATATGTTAATCTACAATACGATATTGTGTGGCTTGGCCGAAATCGGTCAACCGTAGCGCCTAAGACGCTTTGCTGAACAATGCATGTGACTTGGGTTGGCAGAAATCAGCGGCGAAATTTTCAATGGAGACCGTTAAAATTGTAGCACTAGCGTTTGCAACAACATATTAAGCTGAAATTCGGAATATACTTATGATATAAGCGTTCAACTGCTCGTGAAATAACAATTTTGGGAAATTCCTAGAAAAAGATATAAATACAGAGACTTGGGGAAGTTTTCGAACGATTTCTTCCAGACTTAAAGGTCAGCTATACCAGTAACCAGTATTGACGTTTCGGCATCGATGACGGCGATTTTTTTCACTGACATGAAGCTAAGCATTTCTTCGTCCGTTACAATTTAACTTTTCAATTATAATGTGCATATTTTCTGAGAAACACAACGTTCAAAAGGCCATGTTTTTGTGGTGCATGAATTTAACTGCTCTGCTATAGCGTCGAAGTACGTAATCGGATTAGCTTTGCCTAACAACGGTAGACGCTTTGCCTCAGCAACCACATGACTGAATTATTTGCCTGCAATTGGGACCCCCTATTGTCCCTCTTTTGTTTGTACACTTTTTTTAGGAAGACCTCCCATATGCTTTGTAAGCGATCGCCAAATTGGGGACCTTTGGGAATTGAGGATCATATTGTCCTCTATAGTTCAATGTCCCTTTTGAATGCAGAATCAAATTCACAAACACACACGACTTAGCCTTTTCGCGACCCAAGCTTTTATGACTTTTTAGCCTCGAGCCTTGCGCGTCTTTTGACACCAAAAACATAAAAATCGGACGAGGGTTTGTCCGGCGCTACGCGCCGTGAAAACTAAATTTCCCCATATACGTCGTGTACACAGACCAGAATTGCCATTCGTACATATGAATGATTAATTAGCCATAATTCCAAAACCCTTTGACCTTTAGTCTTGAATTTTCTTGGGTATGTTTATGAAGCTCTATGCTCTATGCATGTACCGAGTTTCAAAAATTGTCGTCACTCGATGGCCGAGATCTGGGGGGGGGGGCGGAATGAGCCCCCCCCCCACCCCCCCCCCCCCCCCCCCCCCCCCCCCCCCCCCCCCCCCCCCCCCCCCCCCGGCTGAGGGATGGTCAAAATAACCCGGCCCATTTAGGGTTAAGAAAAAACGGAGAAAAACAATCTTATTTTACTCCCACTGTTAACACTCTTTCAATCCAAATGTTTATCATGATTTCATTGATGTTCCTCTTCATTTTGCGACACATAAACCTAACCCCAAAATGCCTCTAAACCTGTTTTCCAGAGAGAGAGAAACCTAGCCCTGGTTCGAATCGGATGTAGCAACGGGTACAGCTATGAACTATTCATAAAAGATGGAATTTGCGTCTGGGTGATGTACATCATTTTAAATAAAAGCATAATAATAAACGCGGGCTTGAAAGAGCTCGCGTGGTACACGTGCAACCAAAATAAGAGGACCCACCTAAAAGGTTTTGATAGATTTTGTGATTTTTGAGACTTGTATGAAGATTAACACAAAATGACACTTAAAACCTCTTTAACTGCATTAAATACACTCCATCACAAGGAGAGTAAAAAACCGCACATGTTTATATATGGATAGTTTAAAAGACATATGCAATATATGGGTAGTTTATGATATTAAAGGGCCATTTCTGGCCAATATCATGAAGTTGTTTTTCAAAACTTATGTTTTGTAAAAAGATTATCCAAGGTTCTCAGCTAGCAAAGTCGATAACCATTAAGTTTTACTACATGTGTAATGTATTTCGATAAAAGTTTCGCCGGTTGCAGTTTTCTAATCATATCTGAAAATATGGTATTGACAACCGTCTAAGATTAAATTAAAGATAGTTATAAACTTATTCCTTCCTTTAGTGTTCATTCATATTTTAGATAAAATGGGATTTAATAACTTGATAGCTTAGGCCAAAAAAAAAACAGTCTCCGGTTTCTGGTATGCGCGCGCGTCGCCGTAGCCATGCGCGTCGGCAAAATGAAAAAGTTTTTTTTTTCAATGAAAAATGATGTCTCAAAACCGCCAAATCGATGGTTTGACTGGAATCCTGCTGCTGCACAATTTTAACGTGTTTTTAGATTGGGTTAAGGGGGTCGAGAATAAGCTTTATGTGGCCTCTCTGGACTCCCATATATTTGCACTAAGTTTAGTCGGGCTCCATTTGCAGTCATCAGCCGACATTTGAAGCAAAACAATCAGGTAAAAAAAAGAGAGACTTTTTTTTGGCCCTATTCGCCACTGAAAACACGACTAGCCAAGTCAAAAACGGCTGCCGTGTTAGGTGTAAAGAGAACCGAGATTTTCAACATTTTCTCCGTTGACGTAAAGTTTGCATTTCAAGGCAAAAGAAGACCCAGACAGCAAGCTGCAGGGCGTGCCACGTCTTTTTCTGTCACCCGAGTGTATGACCCACGGCTTTCGGATGGAAAAACAAAACCTTTTACTCGAAAATGTGCAGTATTGAGATAAGACCGCTTCAGGGCATATTGAGGGCGCTAATATCTTTTTGAAAGTTTTAATGTCTTGTATACATAGTTTTGAAAATGCATGACCCATCTTACACTCTGTGTGAAATTTACCTGATTGCAAAAAAATATATATCTTTGAGTTAAGTCATGCATGTGTCTCTGGTTTTCCATGGCAAAACAGCCTATTTCTCAATTAAGAAGTAGCTAACATGATGCGATGCGATGCAATGCGAGGGTGCAGCCTAGCCTACACCAACTCGGGACTTGGTCGCCGCCCTCCACTTATCCCTATCCAGCATTAGGGACCTCAGCTCCCCTGTGTCACTGAGACCAACCGTGTCGATGTACGTAGCTGGTCTCCGCCCCCTCCTTGCAGTTCCATGAGTCGGCTTCCACAGGATGGTGTTGTGGACTGCTAGCTCCGGGAGGCGGATGCAATGTCCTGCTAGAGCCATCCTCCTCTCCCTGATCTTGTCTGAGATGTGTGGAAGGCCTCCATCATGGTCGATGTTGCTGATGTGGTCTTTCCATGAGACATTCAGAGCCATGCGCAGCATCCTCGTGTAGACGCCATCAAGCGATTTCTCCTGCTTTACAGTAAGGGTCCACGATTCAGCTCCGTAAAGCAGTACAGACTCGACCATCGCTACAAAGAGTCGCCTCTTGAGGTCGTCATTGAGCTGGGCTTTCCACACTTTCCTCATTGAGTGGGCCGCACTCAATGCCAGAGCCCTCCTGACCTTCAGCTCCTTCTCTATTGAGGCGATGTAAGATCCCGATGTAAGGGGGCCAGTGTGTCACCCTGCAGTACTCAAAGTAAGGAGTCTCTCTATCAGGAGAGAGCACCTTGGCGCGAGTGCCCTTGTAGCCAGCTGCAACTGCCCGGACCACCTTCTCTGGTACACCATAATTATGCACGTAGGATATGTATCATTTTTCCTCTTTGCACAGTGTCGAAGGCTTTGTGGAAATCAATGAAGGTGGGCACTGCAGGTAGGCCTCACTCTTCCATGAAGGTGCCAACATGAAGGTGCCAGCTATGAACAAATATCATACGAGGAAGATAAGTTCAATGTGTGTACACTTTAGAGATGCGCTTAAAAAAAATTAAGTCTAAATTAATTTAGATTGACTGTTTTACCTTACAAGGTATTAGAGTTAAGTACTTGTTATATTTTGTGGCAAAGAATGCCAATTCAAAATTATATTTAAAAACCTTCAATCCATCTATGATCCAATTTGGAGAAATACACAATACAACTTTCCTATATTCACGGGTTCTTTCGGTCTTCTACCCAGTCTCATATCACAAAACGTCAAATGTTTAAACTTGAGACTCAATTTTATCGAAATCCTATTTTTCGAGTTCAGCTGTTTTGCCATAGGGCCTTCACAAGGTCTGCCTATAAGCATCAGTTTTGCGACGAAATGTTACGAGAAAACTGAAAATCTAAATGTACGGCGTTTGCCCAGGACCACTTGAAAGCTAACCCTGCACACATTCGACGAGTTATTTATTAAACTATCCTTTGATCGATAACAGACAGAACAAACAAAGCAAGGACAGAGTTTAACTGGAATTTCCCCTGGAAATCCCGGTCGTTTGCGATAACATTCTTCTGAACGTACCGAAGTTTACTCAAGGACTATTAATAATATTACTGGAAATTCACCTGAAATTCCGCATCAGTATTTATTACTGCCGTTAGGCCTCGCTCTTTCATAAGGGTGCCAACATGAAGGTGCCAGCTATGAACAAATATCATACGAGGAAGATAAGTTCAATGTGTGTACGCTATAGAGATGCCCTTAAAAAGATAAGTCCAAATTAATTTAGATTGACTGTTTTACCAGCAAGGTATTAGATTGAAGTACTTGTTATATTTTTTTGGCAAAGAATGCCAATTCAAAATTATATTTAAAAACCTTCAATCCATCTATGCTCCAATTTGGAAAAATACATAATAAAACTTTCCTATATTCACGGGTTCTTTCGGTCTTCTATCCAGTCTCATATCACAAAACGTCAAACGTTTGAACTTGAGACTCAATTTTATCAAAATCCTATTTTTCGAGTTCAGCTGTTTTGCCATACACAAGGTCCGCCTATAAGCATCGGTTTGCGACGAAATGTTACGAGGAAACCGAAAATCTAAATGTACGGCGTTTGCCCAGGACCACTTGAAAGCTAACCCTGCACACATTCGACGAGTTATTTATTAAACTATCCTTTGATCGACAAAATACAGAACAAACAAAGCAAGGACAGAGTTTAACTGGAATTTCCCCTGGAAATCACGGTCGTTTGCGATAACATTCTTCTGCACGTACCTAGGTTTACTCAAGGACAATTAATAATATTACTGGAAATTCACATAAAATTCCGCATCAGTATTTATTATTAGAGTGCGAAGTTTATTCAAGAGCAAAAGCTTAGCCTTCACGAAACCTGCCGTTTATGCTTTTAAATTATCATTTTAAAAAAAAAGGTATTGCCTCATAAATACGCTTTAGAAGAAACTTACAGAGCCCATTTGACCCTTCACATTTGGAAAAATTAAAAAGGCATTTAAAGATTCGTTCCCCGTGATATTTTCGAGTTTCACCTCGATTTTTTCCCCTACCAATATAGAAATTATTCAATCTTGAAAGCGACCTCAAAACGAAAAAATCCACTGACGTTTAGTTATAAAAAACCACCTGATGACGTAACTATCACGAATTTCTTCTAGGACTATCTTTTGGTGGTGACCTAAGTATGTACTAAGTCTGAAGGCGATCAGATTTACGAAAGTGCCCAAAGTAGGGTGTTTTAATCGTGTACAAGCCCTCTGGGGAAAATGCATCTTTAATGTGACGTAACCTGACACCTGATGACATCACGATCACGACTTTCATCTAGAACCATCTGTGGGTGGTGGTCTGAATATGTATTAAGTCTAAAGTCGATCGGATTTTTACGAAGATGCTAAACTGGAGTGTTTTAAAACGTGTACAAAACATATGGGGAATAAATGCATGACGTCACGATCACAAATTTCTTCTAGGACCATCTGTTGGTGGTGTTCTAAGTATGTACCAAGCCAGTATGAAATCAATCAGATTTTATAAAAAGTGCCGAAGTGAACTGGTAGAAGAAGCGTGTGCAAAACCTATGAAGAAAAAGTCTGAAAAAGGAGAAAAAAAGAAGGAAACTAGACTTGTGTTTGTGGACAAACACAGGGCTGTTTCGGTAACTTTTTGTGACATGTGACTTGTAAAGTTTCAATATTAAGTTCCATCCAGGAAGGATGTGTAGTTCTGTTTATAATAACTGGTGGCATATAATATGTGATTACATTCCCATGGCTTTGAATCATGACGTCACATGCGACGTGATGATATCATGATGACGTCACATCAATTTTCATCTATAAATATATATTTTGTTAGTAAATAACAACTTAGCCAGAGCATACATCTTTCACCAATTTGAAATTATAAGGCACTTCCGGTTTCAGCCGGAAGGAAGGGTCACGTGATTTTGCACATAATATAAAAAATGAAGACCTTGGATTATTCTATCGATTCCGGCAAACGTCAAGTTCAGGTCTCTCATGGTTGATTTTATATTTATTTTCAAAGATTAAATATATTAATCTTTAACGTGACGTGACCCATGATGACATCATCGTTGCGAAACTTCAATTTTCATTTATAACACATCCCGGTTTAACCCTAAAAGGGCCGGGGGGGCGGAATCCGCCCCCCCCCCCTCAACATTTTCCGTGATAGCCTCTAAAAAAATTTTTTTCGCGACCCGAGCTGTTATGACTTTTTAGCCTCGAGCTTTGCGCATCTTTTGATACCAAAAAGATAAAAATCGGACCACGGGTTGCCGCGTAGCGAAAAATTTTCCGGCGCTACGCGCCGTGAAAACTTAATTTTCGCATATACGTCGTGTACACAGAGCAGAATTGCCATTCGTACATATGAATAATTAATTGGCCATAATTCCAAAACCCTTTGACCTATAGTCATGAAATTTCTTGGGTATGTCAAGGAAGAGTTGCTCTCTGCATGTATTGAGTTTCAAAATTTTTCGTCACTCGATGGCCGAGATCTTAGGGGGGGGGCGAATCCGCCCCCCCCCCGGCTGAGAGATGGTCAAAATAACCCGGCCCCTTTAGGGTTAAATACATACTAACTTTCAACCCAATCGGACCTGTAGTTCTGTAGATATAGGCCTTCAAAATATGCATTTACATTGTGACGTCCCCGGTCACGTGATGACGTCATCATGACGTCAAGTTAATTTTCATCTATAAGATGGTTAAAGGTTAAGGATGTGCTGGGGCGGTATGGAGAATCGAGCAGCTCCATTTCCACTGAAGTACTCCATTGTATAGCACGGCGTCTCAACATTAGCCTCTCCTAATCAAATCCTACTGCCTGGCTTCTCGTGCCAACTCCCGTTTTTACAGAATGGCAGAGGGTGTCAGCGAATTTCTGGCGCTATAACCAGTTGCTCCGGGTAGGTGGAGCTCGTCAACCTTGGTTGGTAGTCCGCCTAGGAGAAGGACAACTCTGATTCCAAACACGGGTAGGTGGAGCTCGTTAGCCTAGGTCGGCGATCTGCCTAGGAGAAGGACAACTCTGATTTCAAACCCGGGTTGTTGGGGCTCGTTAGCCATGTAAGGCAGCCCACCTAGGAGAAGGAAACTCTGATTTCAAACCCGTGCAGTATCGGCCTGCTTATATCTGTATGGTCACGGATCAGAATATGACCATCGCTCCCCACAGCGTGACGTAGGAGTCGTCTTGTGGTTGGCGTCAGGAAGGGCATCCAGCTGTGAAATCTTGCTCCAATTGTTCAAACTATGGCTAGTAATATGAATAGGCGGGGTACAGCCTCAAGTACTCCGTGGGCCGCTTCACCAGCCTTCGTCAAACATAGAGGTGGAGGAGGAGGCCAAGCCGCAGTAAGTTATGACGGCTATTCGCCCGATGTCCTGCGGGGAGGTCAGAACAGGAGGGGGGTTGAGCGTTTGAGGTTGGCAACGTGGAACATTGGCAGCATGTCGAGGAGGTCTGGGGAGGTGGTGGATGCGATGGTGAGGAGGGGAGTGGATATGTGCTGTGTGCAGGAGTCAAGGTGGAAGGGAGGTAGTGCAAGGTGGCTTGGTAGGAGGGGTGAGCGGTATAAGTTCTTCTGGATGGGCACTGATGACGGAAGCGGAGGTGTCGGGATGTTGCTGGTAGAACGGTGGGTTGACCAGGTGATGGCGGTTCAGCGAGTCAGTGAACGGATCCTGTTGGTGAAGCTACTGGTCGGGAGGAGAGTGGTCAACGTTATCTCGGCCTATGCCCCACAGGTCGGGAGGTCACGGGAAGAGAAGGATTCCTTCTGGGATCAGATGGTTAGGGTAGTCTCGAGGCTGCCACAGAGAGAGGGTGTCATTGTGGGAGGTGATCTCAATGGCCATGTGGGTGCGGCTGCAGATGGTTATGATGGCGTGCATGGAGGCATGGGTTATGGTGACAGGAATGTCGCGGGTGAGCGGATCCTCGAGTTTGGTGACGCGGTCGGGCTGGTGATATGCAACACATTCTTCAGGAAGACCCCCAACCAGCTGGTGACGTACAGTTCCGGTGGAAGCAATAGTGCTATCGACTTCCTGATGGTCAGGAAAGGGGACCGCACCATGGTGAAGAATGTCAAGGT